ATATATTCAAGTCTTTATATTGTAATTAGTTTATCATGCTATAACAACATTTTACATAACTATTCGAATAAACTCATTTAGTGAATTCAGCTATCTTATAAAACTGACTTGAATTTTATGTCTTAAGGGCGTATAAAATTAATATAACAACTACCTAATTAAGAATCATTTATTATAATTTATATGAGTATATAATATATACCTATATATTGTATTACAATAATCAATATAATAGCGTATATAAGAATGAAAATTTAAACACATTATATTATGCTTTTAAATATTATGCGTTATTCACGTATTTGGAGCTTAAAATTTTCATTTTTGATTATTTTTGCAATGCACTATAATCATTATTATCACTATCAATATCATTTGTATATAATATATACAGCCATACATGTACATTCGATCAGGGGTGGTTAAATTGAAGCTCGCGAACCATAATCGGGTCTTTGAAGATTTTTTTGAGACTTTCAATATTAATGTGACCAAGTTACATTGTCATATAATTTGTGTAACACAAATATTACCATTGTTGCATGGGTGTTTCAAGACGTCGTTTAAATTATTAGGAAAAAATATGAAGGTGTAAGTGTTATATGTTATAACAAATTTTATTTCCGTCTAACCCAAGAATGTTATGCCTTATTGTCCGTAATCGATTGATTTCAGATAGATTTTTGATTTTTAAACTTTTATTGTAATGATATTGAGCTTTGAAGGGACAAATTACTCGCTTCATCACTCCTGCTACTGATATAATTTATTAGTCATCAGAATATGTTAAGTTCTTAACGCTTTAATTGTGGCTCCTGGAAAATTTTAAAATTTTAATAAATGTCTCGGCCTAACAAGGAGCTTATTCATCCCTGGTATATATCATCATTGTTTCTTGACATACGTTCAAATTATTGTATGCTATGTGAAAACAAAAGCAAAAAAAAAAAACAAGTATAATTCCCTGTTTTTTTTTCGTGTCCCCTGCCAAAAGTATAATTTTCAAGGAAAATTTATTCTTAAAGACAACTTAAAGGGTATAATTAGTAGCTATAGATGATTTTGCATTACAAAATAAATACTTACCAAAAGTAAAATAAAAACCAAAAAAAAAAAATTAAGGATTTTTACTTCTTCTTCTTTTTTTTGTACAGGAAAAAATCAAGAATAAGAAAAAAAATTGTTTTTGTATTTAGTTTGAATGATGAATTTCTTACCGTGACACCGTAAAAAAGCGATACACAACATAAAAGATAGACGTTTAAGAACAGGGCATAGGAAAAGATCAAGAAGGGTAAAAAAAATTGTAAATTGAATTGAATATGGCGCCAATTTATTTACTCGCAAACTGGTTCATAATTTGAATAAAAGTTTGATATGAAAGAACGAAAGGAATTCATCGTAGATACAAATGAATTTTTGATTATAATAATGCGTACAATGTGTGTGTATTTTATTCTATAATAGTTAAAATATTACGGTAGTTATATTTTAGATTTGTTTTATAAAATAAAACTAAAGGATAAGGCATTGGAATAAAGTTTAGGCTAATAAAGAATGACTTAATGAATTTACTTATATCGTATTACTATATTAATAGTGCCGGACCTAATTAAATAAATTATACGAAAACGAATATTGAAATTTGAGCCAAATTAATTAAAATTATAGCAATAACTGTAATAAGTTTGTGCTTGATTTCTAAAAACGTATACAATATACCTGAATTCTAATATGTTTTCATTTAAAAAAAATGAGTTTTTGATTTCTTACTTGCGTTCATTCTTAAAAATTCGAGTAGGTTTAGAAAATTTAATTCAATTTGAATTTCTTAAAAAATGCAATTTTATTTTTCTATACGTATAATACAGTAAATGCACTTTGGATGAATATTTACAGCTGTGCAAAATCTCGTTCATTGTGCAGGAATTCAATTATCCCGTAGGGTCTTTGTTATTGTAGATCCGGTTTTATTTTCTATATATTTAGATATGTTTATAGAAAGAAAACTGCTAGTTATAGGGTAGGTTTCCTTCAATCACGAAATTCCGAATTCATTAACTGCGTGCTCTTTATAATTTAAATATTCTCTAATACTCTAATTTAAATGTTGTACTTTCGAACATTTGGAGAGTTTATGTAAGTTAATTAAAACAATTCCATTTTACATTGTGGAATTTTACAAATTAAAGTTTTCAAAATATTAAAGTTTTTGAAATTCTACGGATAATTTGCGTAGAACGTCAAAAACTTCAATATTTTGCATTACTTATCGCAAATTAAGAATATTAATATGACACAGACTCACTGTATGAAATATGAAATTAGAAATTATATCTACATTGTGCGAGTGCCATTTAGTTAGCGACTGTGTTATGATTGGGGAAGAGGGAACGTGGTAAATTAAAAATGTTGAGAGTGAAAATTCGAAATAATTAATTTTAAAATACTTATTAAATGAATAATAGGCACAAAAATAATTGTTAAATTATTGTGCAAGAATTGTTTATTTTAGGCACACATTTACACAGTACAAATATTCTAGTTCACATGCAGAGAAATAAATAAAATATATTACGTGTGAAAATTATAATACGAATCATGTGTCAAACGAATTAACAATATCGGAAGACTCTTTAGGTAATTTCGCTTAATTTCATGTATGATTTATGCAGGAATATATTAACAAAGTGTATACGCATAAAATAGGAGGAAGGCATAAGTAGAAATTCAAAATAATAGACAATATCATGCAAACTGTTAATTTATTTAAATCAAAATGTTAAAGTGAAATTTACGATTTTTTAAAACCTTCTCACTCTTCTATATAATATGTATGCGTATAGTGTCATTAGCAGGCCTATAAGTGATTATAATTGAATTAAAACGATGCAATGATAATGGATTGTATTTTATGAGCTTACGTACATACATAACTAGAAATAAATATATTTTTTACATACACATTGAATGCATAATTTAGTTAAAGAAATAAAAAATTATTTATTGGGTAAAAATGATTGGGTAAAAAATAAATTATCGGTTTTTGTTTTTTTAATGATTTAAAAGGTGCAAATTTTTGTATTATTGAGCAAGTTATATGGAAGCGTCATATTTTTACAATATGTGAGCATGTAATTTTTATGACATTAAATTTTATATGAAATTTCCATTATAGCTTTCTGATCTGATATGATTACATAAGCCTAGTGATAATGAATATTTTAAAATGTGTCGTTGGTAAGAATTCTCCATGTCAATAATTAACATGATGTAAAAGCTACAAAACAATGAATTTCTTTTTTTTCAGTTAAGAAAAACTCATGTTAATTAGAAAATTATTGTAATTTATTGACAAATTGAGTCTTTCTTCTTGTTTTTTTTTTTGGCTTAGTGAGAGTTGATCAATTGCTATTATTCAATTAATATTGTGTGTAATTATATTTGAAATTTAAAAATAGAATTATATTGAATTTTTAAAGTGACGCAAAAATAATAAATTTCAAGGTGATATTGTGGAAATTCTAAAGATTTTATGAAATATAATCTTAAATTGAAATTATATTTTCAAAAAAAAAAGGAAGAATGATTTGCCCTGATTAGCAACTTACAAAAATTTCAATGAAATTAAAATTTTGGTTCAATGATTCTTTAAAAAATTGTAACTTATTTTCAAAATTGCAAATCATAAATGACAAATATCAAGTAAGCGTTGTGAATACACCATTAGAATTACTTCTTACATTTTGTCGTAGATTTATACAATTGGAAGATAACAGTGCACTGCGACCACGTATAAGGATGATATATAATGCACGACCGCTAAGTGAACACTTTGACCTAGAACACTTCTTAAAGATCCATCCTTCTAATGAGCTGAATCCCATTGGGAAGGCCGGAATATCGCACTTCCACCGCTCTGAAAGTGTAGTTCCAAAGTATTTCCTTTCGTACTCTTTCAGAAGGTGTACTGCAGTCTTCTTATTTTCCTTACAGAATCTGGAAGTATTTTCAATTTTTAGGCCCAGTAACCAAGATGCTACCTAATTTTTTGTGTTGTTATGTTTTGAGTGTTTTGTTTTTAGTTTATTTTTGCTGCATTGTCTACATCGTCTTGTTAAAGTCGAATTTCTTTGAATCGAACTTCTTTGCAAATTAAAGTGATTTAATAAAACTTTGATCATGTGTGCATATACATAAGCATATACAACTAATATTTTACAAGCTTACAAGTTTAGGATCATTTAGGATAGGAGCTTTACACATTTTAATTTAATTAGAATTGTAGTTTGTCTTAAAAAATTTTCTAAATCTGAAAACGTAAAGTAAGTTTCTATAATCAAATTATGTTTAAAATATGTATTTAATAATAAAGATTTATTTATATAGTATAAATACATTTATTAATTTCAATTTTCTAATTTTTTGTTTATAAATGAATAAATTAAATTTACTGATTGATTTATACTTAAAATCTAATTATTTTTTTATTTTAATTTTTAAACATGCAATGAATATTATTATGAAACATTTCGTTGTAAATGCATTTTATACTTATACAATAATAAATACATTTAATATTATACAATATCATATTAATTAATTATAAGATCACAATGAAAATACTATACTTAAAATTTATAATTTATTATTAAATTATTTTTCAAAATAATTTTGTGTTATACAATATAATATTATATAATATGCATTTTTATAAATAATTTTATAAATATTTTTATACATACAAATTGAAAAAAAAAAATTAATAATAAGATTGCCGAATTTGAAAATTTTGTTAAATAAGTTTTAAATAAAAATTTTTTAATAAAATGGAATTAAAAATATTTAAAATTTTCTTTTATTATTTCATATTTTAAATACATATTATATATATTATATTTACATAGGATAAAACTTATTGTATATAGTAGTTTTAATAATGGCATATTTAATTCAAACTATTGGCACAATTTTTAAATAAATATTTGTAAGGATATTGTAGAATGTAGGTATAATAGCATCACATTGCAGAAATGTATACTTAAAACATTCCATATATCCTTGTAAAAGTTAATAGGAGACACCAAAATTTTTATAGCTGTAAGAGAAATTAAAAAATTTATTAGGTTATTGTCAAATTAAGTTTTGTATTGATTCAATTTAAGAAAAATTTATAGAATTTCAGTCATTTAGTTATAATTGTCAAAATAACGTAATTAAAAAGCTTAATCAGGCACCCTTAAGTAAACCTCTTTAGGTCATGCGCTGGGATCAAATTTTACATGTCGAGTTTTCGTCGGAAATGTGTTTTTTTCATGCTAGTGGAGGGTAAGAAAACTTTTTTTTAGAAAGATGTCTGTCGGTTTGTCTGTGCTGATCAGTATCTCAAGTTCGGCTGTACTGATTTTCACCAAAAATTCATATCTGAAAGTTTTAATCGAGCATGAGACACATTGATCAACTTATTAGTTATGGAATATTAGGTCTCGCAAAATGAACCACGGTCCGATTTTACACCTTTTACTATATCTAAGGAACTCAAAGACAGAACTTGTTGAAATTTCATATTTGTGTGTAACTCTACTAAAGTGAAACTCTACTAAAAGCAACATTTTAGTATTGGATTATGGGCAAGACCTCACCCGCTACTACAGGGTGGCGCAAAAAGAACGATATGTTTTGAATTCTTAATAACTTTTTTATTTATTATTTTTTTTTTTTTTTTTTCAGAAGCTTGTAAACAAGGCTTGGCAAATTTATAATGGAGCAGTACACAACGTAGCAGCGAACAAAAATCATAGAATTTTACTATCAAGATCACAGGTCACTCACTTTAACTCGGCGAGCATATCGGCGATGTTTCAATGTTTCATATCGGCGAATCTGCCCTCTGCAGGAACAATAAACCGTCTGGTAAGACATTTTGAAGAAAATGGATCAGTAAGACCGCGTACGGTCCAAACGGAGGAAAATGTTGAACGTGTAGTCAACAGTGTAGATGAGAATCCAGGAACATCAACAAGGAGACGTTCGACACAGCTGGGACTATCACGAAGATCCCTTTAAAGAATTTTGGCCTCAATACGCATGTTCCCATATAAAATTCAGATTCAGTGCAACAGTTGAAGCCGATAGACTATCAACAAAGGCTTGATTATGCCATTTCTTTCCAACAAAAAGCAGAAGAAAATCCAAATTTCATACACAATTTGATATTGAGCGATGAAGCTCACTTCCAATTAAATGGTGTTGTTAATAAGCAAAACTGCAGAATATGGGCGACGGAGAACCCACGAGCAGTACATCTGCGCCAATTACACCCACTTAAATATACTGTTTGGTGCGGTATATCATCCGAAAGGATAATTGGCCCATATTTCTTTGCAGATGGACATGGCGACGCAGTTACCGTTAATGGCGCTCTGTATAGAGCTATGCTGGAAAACTTTTTGAGGCCAGCAGTGCAAAACCATCCACAGTTGTGGTTTCAGCAAGATGGAGCCACTGCTCATACTGCAAGGGAGACAATGGCTATTTTACGGGACATTTTTACATAGTTGGCCTCCGCGTTCACCAGATTTAACAGCACCAGACTGTTTTCTTTGGGGTTATTTAAAAGAAAAGGTGTATGGGTTTTGGCTTTCGAATCAAACTGCCCCCATTGGTGTGCCAAGAGATTCTACGTATATACCTTGTTGGATCCTGTGGTTGGAGAGAATCAGGGTTGTGTTCCGCAGCCTTTTTAACTGAGATAAGCGGAATGGCACTTGGAAAGAGTATAGGGTGAAATTAACAGCCCATAGCAAGGAAATCCGCAGACTAAGCGCAGAAGCTTTAGATCATTGTGTACACTTTCTGGGACAGTATGCTCTTGCGCGCAGGGGAAGAGAACACTGAAGGAATTTTCTTTAACGGCGGCGGAGTTGCGGTTGTCCGCGCTTCAAAATTGCTGAAGTACATCAGGATGGTGGATCTAGAGCGCGGCCGTGCTTCGCACCCAGGGAGTACAATAGATCCTTATATTTTGTTTTGGTGCACTATTGTGTTTTACAAACGTACAAATCTAAAAGGTCTTTAAAATTTGGAAAAAATATTTAAAGGACGTTTTCATGATCTTATGCATAATTTTTGTGACGTGCTGACCACATCAGTTTTTTTATTTTTAGTTTATTATTTAAAGGAACGTGAAATGTAATTTTTTTCAATTATTTCTCTATAAAATATAATTATTGCATATATTTCTAATTAATACAAGGTTAAATTATTTTGTTAAGTTTAAAATTTTATGATTGTTTAGAACGTTTCGAAAAACTATAATTTTCGTAATAAAAATTAAATCTTGCTTCTAATATAATATTAAAACAAATTTACAATGAAATTTTAGCCATTAATTTAATTTTATTTTTTTTTATTTTAATTTATCAGTTTTTAAAGTGACTAATCAAAGTAAATTAAAAAATAATTACAATAGTTTTTTTTTTAATTTTATTATCTGCTGACATCGTTTAGTTATAAATTATTGATAATTTCATTATTAGTTAATAGCACTTGAATTGTGTAATAAGTTAAGAATAATATTGTGAGTCTATGAACAGTGTTTGCATAAATAATTGCTAATTATTATAGTAGTACAATAAAATTCAGGTGTAGTGATATAAATACCATAGAACGTTAGCAAAAATTTTAGACCTAAAATACAATCTATCTTACGTTATGTTGATGCAGCCTCTCGAATTCTACTGTCATACACAATCTATGTTAATATGAAATGTAATTTTCCACATCTTCGTAATTTATTTTTTTGATAACAATAATTGTACTTGGTTATAGTTAGACAGTTTATACATATTATAGTACATGATCGAATTTATATCACTTTATTTAATTAAAGTTAATCGCAAAGTAACTAATCTAAGGTTAATTTATTCTTAAGGTGATATAAGTGGTTAATAATTAAGTCTTGTAAAGGTTAAGTAATTGAGGTTTATTGTTTTCAATAAAAGATAACATCTTCATTTAATTTATCATTCATATGACAGGGGAAAACACTATTTGTTAACTATAACGGATGCAGGGGGACAATAAAAAACAAATCCGAGCGTACCGTCAGAAACAGAACCCATTGATTTTGTTTTTGTTTCTTCTTCATCCTTAAATAGAAATGACGATCTATTTCATAAAATCTCAACAGTTTTAATTTTCGAACTCTTCAGAAAAATGCAAAATTCAGTGCCAAAAAAAAAAGTTTTTGATTTTGAAATTCTGGATACAGAAGGTTGGCTCATATTGTAGACTTATATTGTGTTTTTGATTAAGCTGTTCCCGTTCATTTAAGCAATTGATTCAGTTTTATTTCATGTTCGTTTACTTTAAGAACCATTTTTTACTGGTATATTGAAAATATAGAAAATCTCAAAATTCCATGATTTGGTTCATTCCTTTGGTATAATTTAATCTTTTTCAACAGCTGTTGTTAATACAATTGAGTACAATGCAATAGAAAATTGACTTGAAAGTGGAAAAATTTGGTCAGCTGTAATATTTCACACTTACTATAATTTATATTTCATTTTGCTTTATTCAATTTTGTTCCATAAACCTAATTTTCAATCGGTTGAGCTTTTCAAACAATTAATTTCAACAATCATAGTTAGTCTTAAAATGAGTACGCCTTTTACAGAATTCAAAAACCTCAGTTATTTTAATTTCATTTTATTGATATATGTACGAGTAGTGTGTGTGCATGCATGTTGTTTGTATGTACTCGTATGTATTGTGTGCAATATAACTTTTATGACTCTATGTAATTTGATATTTAAACAATAATTTTAAAATGTTTTAAATTTTATTTTTTATTTTTCACATTTTAGATTTTTTTTCCAATAAATTTTGATAGCTTTTTTTTTGCTTTTAATATTTTCATAATTGATTTTTAAATCATTTAAGAAAATTATTTTAACCTTTTTCGACATTATAAACTATAAAATAAAATTTTCTATATGATTTTATTGAATTTAAAAAATCAAATTGCTAGGAAAAATTAAAACAGAAAACGTTCAATTTTAACCGTGACTAATTAATTATAATTAATAGTTTCCAATTACATGCTTCAAGATCTATATTAATCAATCACATTCAATTTGTAAATAAATAAATTATTTAGAAATTATTGTTTTTTCATCAAGGTTATTAATTCATTTTAGAACCTTGATCTAAAGTTATAATTAAGTAATTAATAATGAATTCGCTGAATTAATTTTTTCATTGTATGTGTTTTGTTTGTATAAAACATACTCGTATTGGCGCTTTATAGAAAATGAAATGGTAAATTAAGATTTTTTTTCAATTTTAATTTTTTTTATTATTTTATAAATATTTTGAATTAATAAGATAATCATTAAATCATTTTTATTAAATTATATTGATTGAAAAATATACACTACATGAAATGTTTACTGAAATGAACTTAATTGAAAATTGATTTTCGATAAATTATATAAAATGTTTTTGATTTGTGATGAATGAAATAATAATTTATTTGTCGTATAAGTGATTTAGAAAAATAAATATAGGAAAAAAATTGGTTTATGGCCTACATATTCGTATTCCAAAATTTTGTAAATGTATTTCGGCGAATCAACATTTTAAGATTTTTACAATTACGTACTTTTTACATATACGACAAAATCTATGATTGAATCTACGACAAAGCTTGGTGACATATCAATAAGAAATATTCGGATGAAACTGAAATTTAAGGTGACAACTTAACAATTTCTGCGAAAATTTTAACAAAATAAAAAAAAGTGATCGCTGTTCAGAAGTTTCGCAAAAATTTAATTCTCGCCTTTTTAGTTTTCAAAACTATTAGCCTAATAAAAGTAGAGTAATTTTCACAATTTTCCGTCAAAACAAACTCTGATTTCAAACAATGTTACATATACGACTTTCATCAAATTAAACTCTAAATTTTGTCGTAAATGTCAACAGTTTCTAAGTTTATCCAAGAATTTAATAAAAACTTAAATAATTTTACGATTACATGGGTCTATGTTATTGCTCAAGGTTTTGACTCAATATATTTTTGTATGATTCGAATCATTAAAATCAAGGTTTGATGTTATAAACAGAACTTTGTATCAATCATAAAATTTAAATAAAAGTTTTTAATAATAATAAAATAAAAAGCGGTTTTTTATCATTTTCATATATAAAAACCACTCTTACCTACATTTCTCCCTTAACTGCATTATATTGTGCATTAAATTGATGATACATTTGTTCCATTTCATGATCACTTGGACAATCATCCATTTCCATATCAATTAATTCATCATCATCTTCATCTTCCTCTTCGTAACCTGGTGAATTTGGTGAATTAGCTCTGCCACTACTATTATCACCGCCTGTACCACCACAACCACCTTTTGAATTATCTTCTTGTTGCATTCTTTTATGTTTAGTTCGTCGATTTTGAAACCAAACTTTTACCTTATTTGAGAAATTGAAAAATTAAATTATATAATAATTTTGGTATTCGATTTTTAAATTGTGAAAAGTTATTTATTTTTAATTTACGATATTGGAAAAATTGAACTTATTTTACAAAATATTAATTAAAATTTTCTTTAATCATTTTTTATCTGAAATCATTTACAAATTAACATTGAGTCATTCAATTCATTGAATAATTAAAATCAATCAGTAAATTTAAATCCTATATATCTAACTGGATTTTACATAAACAAAAAATTCCAGAATTATTCCTTACAGAGTGCATGTAAGGCACATTCGGTTTAACTACATAACAGAAAATTTCATTCCTGCCCATTTAATTTGAGAATTCCAAAGAGAAAATATGCATGTGAGTAATTTAATATTATCTATATTTATGTGTTTATTTATTTAATTTATAACTATTAACAGTCAGTTATAAATATATATGTATGTATTGTACAATTTTTAGTTCCTGTTCTTCATTATCTAAAATCTTAAGAAAATGTTGAATGAACGAGTTGACTACATTTTATTTTTGTGTTTTTTTTTCCTTAAATATTAGGAATACTTATAACAAGTTTATTATGGAAGTTGAATGTAATACATGCAATGTGCATATGTATGTAAATTCATTAACAGTAAGAATATAAAGAGATAGAGGAACCCTCATTTAAAGTGCATATACAAAATACTTATAAAAATTACTGAATGTTGTCATTTTTTCAACTTCTTATTATTTTGACAATTTACTTACAAATCTAAATTATAATAAAAATTAAATAAAAAGGGGGCCTTATTTTTTCTCATATTTATATGTCAAATATATACGTTTGTATACAAATGCATACATTCTTATATACATATTTAAAATAAAACATGGAAGCGTTTTTATTAACTGCTTAATGACATGCAAACATTTTTCAGATTGTGTTGAATGATTTTCATATATGTAAGTTAGTATAACAGAAATTAAAAAGTCTTTGAAACTAGAAAAAATAAAATAAAAATGAAACCAGGGCGAAAAAGAGCATTACTAAAATGATCACAAAATATACATACATATGTATGTAAATCTATGTACATATGTAAGTTAAAAATGAAATCCACTTAAAGTTTAAATAATGGTTGTCGTCGTATGATCAAAATTTCAAATTGCAGTTTACATAATATAAAAAATTTCTAATAATATTTAATGTAGTCATAAGAATTGTTCTACATAAAATTTAAATAAATCAAAAATGTGAAGCTTTTAAACGGCTCACCTAAATAGTAAGAACTTAAACGGTGAAAACAAATGAAAACGATTTAATCGATCCTAACTCATTGAATTATGCCTCAGAATCTGACTACAAAAACTGGTTTATAAAATATTTAAAATTAATTTTTGGGGTTTCATGGCAGTCACCTGAAGTAGTTGAGCCGTTCCATTAATACTATCGATATATTATTGGACAAATTTAAATCAATTTTGTTTACAAAATTTCAAATTAATATCTTTATCAGGTTTTGAAATTATTATAGAATTTCTTTAAGTTGTATGGTTGCTAACCAGTCGAATTAATCCAATTACAATATAATACAACAAAAATAATAGAAAACGAGAAAAAAAATAGAGTTGACCTTGTCAACTCTGTGATACCCGTACGAATTTGTTATCCTATGTGCAAATAAAGATGCCATAACTGACTATGCGACAGACGAAGACCTTAAGTTGCCGTATTACCATATTAATGTATGCAAAATTTCAGTACTATGTGTTTTTCAAAATACTGTGTGTGCCAAACTACTATTTAAGTTGTATGGCACGTACCAGAAGGAGCCAAGTAATTTCAACGATTCTTATCATACACATTGGCCCTACTAATATATTTGTTTGTGTGAAATTTCAATACCATAGCTTATATAGTTTCTGAGATACAGCCAAATAACTCTTGAAGTTGTATGGCAGGTACCAGAAGGAGCCAAGTAATTTCAACGACTTTTATGAGACACATTGGCCCTACTAATATATTCGTTTGTGTGAAATTTCAATACCATAGCTTATATAGTTTCTGAGATACAGCCAAATAACTCTTGAAGTTGTATGGCAGGTACCAGAAGGAGCCAAGTAATTTCAACGACCTTTATGAGACACATTGGCCCTACTAATATATTCGTTTCTGTGAAATTTCAATACCACAGCTTTTATAGTTTCTGAGATATAGCAAAATAAATTTTTAAGTTGTATGGCAGCTACCCGAACCGGTGCCCCGATCATGTCCAATTTAAATAGGGTTCTGGCACTTACTACAATAAATCATTTGTGAAAATTTGGTGAACTTAGCTCAATTAGTTTTTGAGTTATCGTTGGGACGGACGGACGGACGGACGGACCGACGGACGGACGGACGGACGGACGGACAGACAAAGCTAAATCAACTCAGAATTTGACGCTGATCAAAAACATACACTTGAGTCTATATCTAAGACCGTTATTTCTTAGCGTTACAAACGGTAAGGCAAATTTAGTATACCCTTCGAACATACGTTCGTACGGGTATAAAAACGAAGAAAAGACGAACGGACATGTTCAAATTCAAGTAGTGAAAAACTTCATATCAAAATTAATATATTCTCCACTAAGGTGTATAGGATATAAAAATGTGAAAAATAACAATGGCTTTGTTAAAAACTTAATTTTCTTATTATTTTTGCAAATTGTTCTGGCTATAAGAGTATATTATTAAATTTTCTAACTTAAATTATTTATTTGATATGAAATTAAATTAAGTTATTTAAAATAAAGAAAATATTTTTGAAAAAATAATAGAAAAATAAATTGTAATCACATTATATGTACAAGATGTGTCACCAATAAAATATTAGTTTCATTTAGAATAGTTTGCCTTAAAAAGTATAATTAAATAAAAGAAACTTAATATTAAAAATTATATATTGACAGCTGTAAAGACTCTTATAATAAGTCTAAATCTCTGTACAAAAAATTAATGCCTATGTAAATAATTGTAAATAATTTTGGGATAAATAAATAAATAAAAATTTAGAATAGTTGAATAGTTAAATTAATATTAATTGGCAAATAATTGAAAATTAAGCCAATAATAAGATGACAAACAACAATTAGCGTTTTGCATAAAGCATTTGCGTATAATTCTGGTATTTGATAATAGGCAAAGGCGAAGGCTATCCAGGTTCATGATATGAAGGGCCATCTCGGGGAGAACATGATAAAGCTCCCCGTCTATCATGAAATGGATGTATACTATGACGATGGTGACGCTCCTGATATAAGAATGGTGGCTTGGTGGAAAAGAATAGCACTTGAAACAACAAGAAGGGACCTGGAACGTTTACAGAGACTTGCATGCATTTGACTTACTAGGGTTATTAGGATGCGTCCAACCGCGGCAATAGAGGTGATTTTGGGACTAATCCCACTTTTGGAGATAATAGCGTAGGAATGATCGGAACAGGATCGTCTCATCGGTGAGGTTTCGCGAGTTCCTGGATTGCCTGCTTGAGTCATAGTATAGTACACGGACGGATAAAAGACCTGTTTGGGGACGTGTGCAGCGGTATTTGGCCAAGAACTAAATTCTTCCATCCCATGGGAACACACCTCAGTTTCTTTAGGCGGAGGGACACGACAGTGACTTACATTTTCAGTGTCCTCCGAATTGGGCAGATGCAACAAGGTCAAACTGTGCGGTGTTCAGATCGTTGAAGTTTTCCGGGCTTCGATAGGTCAAGAAGCTTCTGGAAGATAACGATCGGAGGTGCTTCGGAAAATTATAAGCTTAGGCAGGAACCGGGTGAGAATTTTCACTGGTGCCGTGACGAGGTATTGCATAGGATTAGAAGTAACCCTAAGAGGATGGGCCTGGATAGTGGGAAAACGTGCAGAAATTGTGGGTTCCTCAACCGAAAGACAAGGGAAATGTTGCGAAACTACGGACTCACACAGGCGGTCATAATTTCAGTAGAGTAAAATTTCAGGTTTATAATTGCACTATATATGTTTTCATTGATGAAACACCTTGTATAATTATATAAAAGTACTTATTTAACATTATACTATAAACTTATAATAGAGTTTTAAATAATTTAAAGTAAAAAATTAGTTTACGTAAGTGATTCTTATCATTTTACTAACTACTTATAATCAGTAAATAAAATGACGGTAAAAATGTAATTTATGGGGCATAATTGTATATAATGTGTTCCGTATAAAAATAAAATATGGGAGTTCTTTTTTTTTCAATTCTTTAATGACTTTATAATACAATTGAAGGGGATTAACTATACTTTGTTAAAGTTATTCATAAGGAAGTATTTTTTTTTAATGTGTGTGTATGAGTAAAGAAAAATTAAACAATTGTAAATTTTTGCTTGTGTATATATATAAGATTCGTATACGAGTATATATATATTTCATTTTAAATTATACAGCTTTGATTTGAATTAAATGTGTAATTGAAATATTGCCCTTGAGATACTGTTTTTGAAAACAAAAAAAAAATTGGTTTTAATAATACAAATTAAGATATAAATTTTTGTAGATTTAGAACTATACAAATACAATAATTGATTGGTTGGAACATGGAAGGCGAAATCAAATCAAAAACAAGAAAAAATTTAATGTACAGTTGAAATTAATGACGACACTACGAATATATGCGAAATAATGGCTTTCTGCCTTACTAATTAACATGAGTTTGTGCAAATGTTTGGGTATACTTTTAGGATCTTGGGCAGTTTTTAATAACAAGTATTAATATTAGATTATTTAAATTTTTAAAGAGCATGAGTTAATAACTACTAAGCCCTCTATTTGTGATGATGGGAATTATATATTTACGAATATTTACGAATATATAGGATTTTTTTTTTCACTTACTTGTGTCTCTGTTAAGCTAAGTGATTGAGCTAAAGATTTACGTTCAGCACCTACAACATAATGATTATTTTCAAATGCATGCTCTAATTTTAGAAGTTGAGTTGGTGAAAATGCTGTTCTAACTCTCTTTGGTTTCCGAAAAGGTTGCAATAAAAAATCTGAAAATAAAAATTACAAATTAAATTGTTGTCTAAGCAAAAATCCTATAAGCTACTTTAATTTAAGTGGTATAGGTAATATTTCAAACTGTTAAATAAACTAATTATTTTCTTTAAAATGCTGAGAAATTTTATCGATTATTTTCTGGGCTCAGCATTTTTATATAGTGATAATTTTATATTTTTTCCCAATATTATAATTATGTAATCATGTTGATTCAAAACTTCATCTAATTGACTTTAAATCTACTTTTAATTATCCATACATACATAATACAGGACTTGCTTTATCAATTTTTAATTTAAAATTAAAATTAAATGTAAATTTTCCTCAGCAATATAATTTATTTATAAAACATCTGCTCATAAATTCATATTTTGTTTTTAAATTGCATATATTAAAGAGAAACATGAACACATTAAAACAGTGTCAACTTGACAGTATGTAAACTACATAAATTATAAGATAGTAGGATATGATAAAAGAAAACTTGTATGACTAGGCTAGATTTTATTTTGTTTTCATTTTTTTTCTCTATGGAATTATTACAGATTTTTAATTAGTTTTTAAAACATAACTTTAAAATTTATGATCTTTTCAAATTAGGTACAAGCTTATGAAGAGTACATTAAAAAAAAATTTTTTTTTTTGCAAAATTGTTTTTCAACCCATTCATTAGTGTCATAACCATCGTAAAGAAAGTAAATATTTAATTAAATAGTCGAACATATACGTACATAATGTTTGTAGGTTATGTTCGTTAGCAAAGTTAATTTGAATAATGTTGGTTGGATCCATAAACGATTTTCATATTATGAGTAAAGAATTTGTTTCCATGTTAATAGTATAATAATGTTATGAAGATCATTTCAATTTTTTTTAAAGTTTAAAAAAATTAATTTTTCTAAAATTTTAATATTTGATTGATAATTCAATATTATAGACAGTATAATAGAAATTAAATTATGTTAAGTATTACTTTATATTGTTTAAAGCCACTATATACTTTCATGTCAACTCTTTACAACAAATTTAAGATTATAAAATAAATTAACATCTAAGAATTTTCTAAAACACATTTGACCCTTACGCTACAACAGCGAAATTTTTTATGAATTTTTCGATGTTCATCAGCTTAAGAACGAGCTATACCCGCAATGGAATAAATAACATGCTAAAAGCATTTAACTTACCTTGAAGTACTTAAATATGTTATTATTATTTCATAATATGGCTAATTCAAATTAAATGCTTTCTTACTGCAATACCAACTCCTTTTAATTGAATTGAGGCGCAAGGGATAATCTTTATACCCGTAAGAACGTATGTATGCTAAGGGTTCGAAGGGTTTGTAACGCTAAGAAATAACGGTCTTAGATATAGACTCAAGTGTATGTTTTTGATCAGCGTCGAATTCTGAGTTGATTTAGCTTTGTCTGTTCGTCCGACCGTCCCAACGATAACTCAAAAACTAATTGAGCTAAGTTCAGCAAATTTTCACAAATCAGTTAATATAGTTAGTGCTAGAACCCTATTTAAATTGGATATGATCGGAGTACTGGTTCGGGTAGCTGCCATAGAACTTCAAAATTTATTTGATTTTATCTTAGAAACTATAAAAGCTATGGTGTTGAAATTTGGCACAAGTAAGTATATTAGTAGGGCTAATGTGTTTGATAAAAGTCGTTGAAATTTCTTGGCTCCTTCTGGTAGCTGCCATACAACTTCAAAAGTAGTTTAGCCATATCTTAGAAATATTGAATACACAATACTGAAATTTTGCATAAACTAATATAGTAATACGGAAACTAAAAGTCATAGTATTTCCCATGGTCATCTATGGCATATTTAGAGTAACAAATTCATACGGGTATCACAGAGTTGACACGGTCAGCGCTATTCTTTCTCGTTTTATTTTTATAAAACCGCAAACTGTCCAGGTTTATTACAAGATTAAAATAATACAAATGTGAAATTGTGCATGCTTAATAATTTGCCTGCAATTTCCATTAATAACTAATTCAAATTCAAAGTTATATAGGTATAGGCGACTAATAAACGGTAACTTTAGTCATTCGTGAAAATAATTTTAATTAGAAAATACTTGTTATATTAATGAGTTAATACAAATGTTTATAAAATCTTTAATAGAATTAAGCTACATGTATGTATGTACTTATAATTTAAAAACAAATCATACCGATAATTAAAAAGGTAGTAAATATTAACATATTGTTAATTAAAACCAGCTTTTTTGATAAATGTTAAGATCTTCGACAAAGAAAACAATAAAAAATTGAGAAAAATTACATCAGAATTGCCGAAATATAAATTTCAATAATTTGATGAGGCAAAGAGCCATGTCGAGAAGAAGATAGGAACAATTTTTAGTATCGATAATCCGTTAAAATGGTAGATATATATAACTTGGCATAGTAAAAAAAAATTGTTTAAGAAACAGTTGAATTTTAGCATTTATTTTGCCACACTAATATTTTGCCTAAGCCCCTAAACGAAGGGAGAGAAAAGTCCTAATCATATATCGTTTACAGAATTTGAAGATGTTGACACAATAAAGGGGTCCTTGTAGACAATAATATTAAGACGGTACAGTAAATTATTATCAAAAAGCTGACTGTGACATAGAATTTCAATAAACAGATCCATAAAGGACAAATATCTGAACGGAGAGAAACTAATAAGCACATTTTTTCAAATTTAATTGGAATAATATTATACAAACAAACATATCACAAAAAAAAATAATATATGATAAACGATTATATTAAATAGAATTTAAAATTAATCAATTTTACTTTATGATTTCATTATTTTTAAAATCAATTCTGTATGCCAAATGCGAGTAATAAAATAAATATGTGCAACTATAAAAATAAATAATTAACTGACAATTATGGGTGTACGTATATGGGTGTAAATTTCGTAATTAGTAAATAATTATTTTACATTTATTTTCTGAAATAAAAATTATATTACTCTTGAATTATTTAATTAATTAATTAAGTCTTAATTGCTATAAATAAATAATTGAAAATCATTATATTCTTACTAAAAACCTCTGTAAGAATGTTATTAAGAAACATTTAAATATTTGAGTTTGGTGCGAGTTTTTGATTTGTGTAGTACTTGTATGACAGTAATTTTATAGAAAATTATTCTACTTACTTTAAAAAGCTGAAACTTGAAGAAGGGTTCTTCAAAAATCATCAATGTATAACTCGGTAACTTTCATATTTTTAATTTGCCGAGTTATAAACTAGGAAAATAGATTGTCAATTATAATACCAATAATTAGAATATCATTTTTGTTTGAGAAGTTCTATAATATAATATACATAGAGCATCTTCGTTATCAACTTTTTATTTTAAATTCAAATCAATAATAATCTACAATCAATGGAACAGGGAGTCATATTGAGCTTATATACAAAATGGACACTGAAGTTTTGCAATGATACTCAACTTTGTTATAATATAAAATCACCTTGTGCATATTGTACTGCTTCATATAGATATTTTCAGATATTTTCATTTTAATTTATGAAAATTCCTTTATTCTAGATTATGAGTTATAAAATTGAATACTATTTGCGATGAAGATAAATAAATTCAAACACTTAAAACTTTTTTAAAGTATTATATGTAGCTATATGTGCTCATTTTTAATGTGCAACAAGTGTAGTTATATGTGCACTTGGAATGTTATAACTGCTGAGCTGCCTACTCACTCTGTACATTATTATGAATTAGGAATTTTTATATTGCTAATAATATTATTTATTAATAAACATGCTGTACATATTTTTTATGAATTCATATATGCGCACATACATTTATTATTTTCGAATATTCAATTCAGTTGATATAAAATTATCGATTTTTGTGCATAAAATTCATATGTGCATTTATTTTAATGCATGAGTAAGATAAAAAAAAGCTCATTAAAAAATTAATTAAATCTAATTAATAAATAATTAAATCACCGTAAAATAGTGAACAATTTTAAATGTTTTTTAAGCACACGCACATTTAATTAAGCATGTGTAATATTTATAATACTTTTTTAAATACTCATTAAAATAAATTTCAATTTAAATTCAAGTTTTCATTTATTAATATGAAAAAGACGCTATTTATACGCCATTTCTAAATTATTCATAAAATATACTGTGATGATAAAGAATTTTAATTTCTAACCTAATGATATTTTTTAACATTTTAATATAATAAACTTAATTTATGAATATTCATTCTTAGTATTTAAGTATATATTATTTATTCATACAAAAATATATTTTAAATGGAAATTGTTAACATGAAATTTTTACATTTACATTGTTCAACTATAAGAAAATAATTAGAGACCTGTTATACATAATTATAAAAAGGTGCTAAATAGAATAATCTATAAGAATTAGCATTTTAAATATATTTTTTGCGATTCTTATTATTTAAGATAGTTATAGTTGTTGTTAAGATTAGTTGTATGCAATGCATAATAAGAGTCGAGTGATAGTTAATAAAATATTTTAATTTAATATTTAGATTTAGCTGAAACAGTTTGCGTAACATTGCAACATGGGAAGTCAAAATTCATAAAATATTTCTTAATATTTGTTTTTATTTTATAATTTTGTATTAGTTATAAATTAATTTATGTTTATTCATAATTTTTAAGTGTAAAACTTTAAAACCCTAACTGAGAACCTGAGAGTTTGGCGAAGGGATATTATCCAACAAAAGTTGTAGAAATTTTGGAGGGCTTTTTTTTCCAGAAATTTGCATATATCAGAAATTTGTACGGCTGTTATCGTTTATAGTAGCACGATTTTGATCATGTTCAACACTGATGTTTGATCAATAAAAATCTGTGGTGAATTTTTTTTTTGCGTTTTCAAAGAAGAGCTTCAACAATAGATAAACGGATAGACCAGACCTACAAGTCTGATTGATTCAGAATTTTATATGGGATCATAAA